GTAGCGTTCGTAGTAGTAGTAGTAGTAGTAGTAGTAGTGGTAGTAGTAGTAGTAGTAGTAGTAGCAGTAGTAGTAGTAGTAGTAGTAGTAGTAGTAGTAGTAGTAATAGTAGTGATAGCAGTGGTGGTAGTAGTAGTAGTAGTAGTAGTAGTAGTAGAGTGGTGGCGTAGGGGTAGTAGCAGTAGCAGTTGTAGCTAGTAGTAGTAGTCGTTAGTGTAGTAGTAGTAGTGTAGTCGTCGTCGCGTCGTCGTCGCGTCGTTCGCCGTCGTTCGTCGTGTCGTCGTGTCGTGAGGGTGTTATTCGTAGTATTCGTCGTAGTAGCCGTCGTAGTAGTAGTAGTAGTAGTAGTAGTAGTAGTAGTTAGTAGTAGTAGACGTAGCAGTAGTAGTAGCAGTAGTAGTAGCTAGTAGTAGTAGTAGTAGTAGTAGTAGTAGTAGTAGTAGTAGTAGTAGTAGTAGTAGTAGTAGTAGTAGTAGTCGTAGAAGTAGCAGTAGTAGTAGTAGTAGTAGTAGTAGTAGTAGTAGTAGTAGTAGTAGTAGTAGTAGTAGTAGTAGTAGTAGTAGTAGTAGTAGTAGTAGTAGTAGTAGTAGTAGTAGTAGTAGTAGTAGTAGTAGTAGTAGTAGTAGTAGCAGTATTAGTAGTAGTCGTAATCGTAGTAGCAGTAGTGGTAGTAGCAGTCGTAGTAGTAAGTGGTAGTAGTAATAGTAGTAGTAGTAGTAGTAGTAGTAGTAGTAGTAGTAGTAGTAGTAGTAGTAGTAATAGTAGTCGTATCAATCGCAGTCGTAGCAGTACTCGTAGCAGTAGTAGTAGCAGTAGTAGTCGTAGTAGTAGTAGTAGTAGTAGTAGTAGTAGTAGTAGTAGTAGTAGTAGTAGTAGTAGTAGTAGACGTAGTAGTAGCAATCGTAGTAGTAGTAGTAGTAGTAGTAGTAGTAGTAATGCCAGGATCGTTGGGTTCAGACTCTGTCCGTGCTTCAGACTCCGCCCCCTGGGTGAATCGGGGCCCCGCCGTCATCCGTCGCCTATTGGGGTTAGCTTGGAGCCATCGCGGGGGCACATTGGGATCGCGGGGTCAACTTGGGGTGCCTGGGCAGGGCTGTGCATCCGCATTTGCATGAGACACCTTCGCCATTGAGTGCCTTTGTTTCAAGCCAGCTATGTCTGCGGGGCTCGCCTCGTCTTTTTCCTCGCTCTTGTGCCCCTCTCCCACCTGTCGTCGTGCTGCGCGTGGTATTCGTCGTAGAGCTCATGGTGTCCGTCGTGCTGCTCGTGGCACCCGTCGCGCTGCTCTTAACTCCTGGAGCGCCGGTTAACTGGGCAGTGTGGTGCGGGCTGATGTGTCTCCAGCGGTCTGGTGCGAGCTATCGTGTCCCTGGCAGCCTGGTGCAAGCAATCGTGCCCAAGGCTGTCTGGTGAAAACTATCGGGTCCCTGGCGGCCTGGTGCAAACTATCGGCGGTCTGGTGCGAGCTATCGTGTCCTCGGCAGTCTGGTGCAAGCTGTCGTGTCCCTGGTGGTCTGGCGCAAGCTATGGCGTCTCCGGCGGTCCGGTGCAAGCACTGATGCGAGCTATCGTGTCCCCGACGGGCTAGTGCGAGCTATTGCGCCCCTGGCAGCCTGGTGCAAACTATCATGTCCTCGACGGTCTGGTGCAAACTATCGTGTCCAAGGATGTCTGGTGCGAGTTCTCGCGTCCCCGGCAGTCTGGTGCGAGCTAAGCTATCGAGTCCCCGGCGATATGGTGCGAGTTATCGTGTCCATGGCGGTCTGGTGCAAGGTATCGCGTTCAAGTCGGTCTGGTGCAAGCTATCGTGTCCCAGGCAGTATGATGCGCGATGGCTGCTCGTGGTGGCACTCGTCGTGCAACTCATGAGATTCGTCGTGCTGCCCGTGGTATCCGCCGTGGTAGCCACGGTTCTTTTCATGGTAGCCGCCGCGCTACGCGTGGCACTCGTCCGAAAGCTCATGGTGTCCGTCATCTTGCTCGTGGTGCCCGTCGTGCGGAGTGGAGTTGGATTTGGGGTCTGTGTCAGAGTTGGTGCGGTCGCGAGGCAATAGTGTCCTCGGATCTCGGATCTGCTGTCGGATCTGGCGCTGGAGCTGGTGCATGGGTCCGAGCCGGACCTGGCGCCGTGACCGTGGAGGTGTTGCCCCGAGACGTAGAGCCCGCGCGCGGCGTCGGAGCGGGCGCGCTGCTGCTGCAGCTGCCACTGCTAGTGCTGTTGCTGCTTAGCTTCGCCGTGAGATCGCATATAGGCCAGCACATCCAAAATAGCCAGGGCAGCCGGGTCAGCGGCAGGTTGGTGGTTTGTTGTTGCTGCTAGGCTGGTACATCCCAAATAGCAATTACTGCAGGGCCAGCGGTACGGATCTTAGGGGGGGTCGTGATTAGGGGGGTCGTGTAATGTAACGACGCTCCAAAAGGGTATTTCTTGACATGCGGGCTGCCCGCCCCCTCCTCTTTGTTTTTTTCCAAGGGCATTCCGTGACAGACAGCGCAGCATCTTTCTTTTTTCTTTTTTTTCTTTTTTTTTTTTTTTTTTTTTTTTATTTTCTATCTTTCTCTTTTCTTTTTTTTTTTCTTTTTTTTTTTGTTTATTTCTTTCTCCTACTTATTTTCTTTTTTTTTCATTTTTTTTTTCTTTTTTTGTTCTTTTGTTTTTTGTTTTCCTTCCAAGGGGTATTCCGTGACATAGCAGACCTGCCTTCGCAGAGCCATGGTCGTAATTCTCGGGGGTCGTGTCTTGCGAGTCCGGGGCAGACGCCCTCCGGGAGGCGTCGGCGGATAGGCCCGTACGTCCAGAACGGATGGGTAGTCAGTAGGGCGCCTTTTATATTGGTTAATATTTTCCCCGCGGCCATGCTGGATTAATAAATCCTCTGGTGCGTTGTCGTCAGATGCCCTGGGGCCTTGGGGCGGATCTAAAATGGCGTTCAAGATGCCGTTCCATCTTGATACCGTCGGAGGGGGGGCAGAGCTGCAGTGGGAGTCGGTGGCGGAGTCGGGGCCGTTTGATATCGGAGTGCCGAGCTGGTGGAGGCTGGAGGTCGACAGGTCGGGGTGGGAGTGGGAGGCCGCACGCTGGAAGCTGGCAGTCGGAATGCTGAGGAGGAGGAGGAGGAACATGTGAACGAGGGAGCAACAAGAGAATGAGGATACGGAGGAGGACGAGGTGACGGAAGAGGGTCAGGAGGGAGAGAGCACGGTTCGGTGGAGGTGGAGGTGGGCGCTGAGGAGGGAGGAGGAGGAGGAGGAGGAGGAGGAGCGCCAACCGACTGAAGAAGAGGACGACAGAAGAGCGGACACGGAGCGAAGTGCGGCCACGGGACGACCGAAGAGACGACGGACGAGAGAGAGAGAGAGAGAGTCCCAGTCCACACCGCTGACGGCAAACAAGCACCTAGCTGTTTATACCCGACAGCTCCGCTGACGGAAAACAAGCACCTAGCTGTTTATACCCAACAGCCCCGCTGACGGAAAACAAGCACCTAGCTGTTTATACCCGACAGCGCCGCTGACCCCACAAGAGATCAACCCAGCCAACCGACTAAGGAGGAGGAGGGGGGGTCCGCATGAGTCCTCGGGAGGAGGAGGAGGAGGAGGAGGAGGAGGAGGAGGAGGAGGAGGAGGAGGAGGAGGAGGAGGAGGAGGAGGGCGGCGGCCCCCAGAGGCCTGAGGAACTCCCTGGAAATCCCTAAGTGCCCCCAGAGGCCTCCAGAGGCCAGAAACGGGGCGAAAACGCCAAGAAACCGTCCGAAAACTCTCCCCTCCTCTCTATCCTCGAGGGCCGGGAGGCGCTGCCTGGTGTCGTCGCTGCTGCCGCTGCTTCTTCTGCCGCCCCAGAACTCCGACGACTCGTTTTTTTGAGTCGCCTGCCCCCCGGAGCTCTCGACCCCTGGACCCATTTGTCGGGGCTTGGACTGGGATCGCCGCCCGTGGTCCTAGTCGTTGGAGGAGGTCTGGGGTGTGCCTTCTTCTCCAGGGCGGGTTTCTCACCTCCCCCTCCCCTCTCCCGCCCCTCTTCCTCCCCCCGCTAACTCCCCCTGCTGATGCTCCCCTCCCCCCTTTCCCCTCCCTTTTCTTCCTCCCCCCCATCACGCCCACATCCCCCCCTCCCTCCCTGCCTCCCTCCTTTCCCCTCCCTGGCAGCTTCCCCTCCCTCTCCGGGGGGAGCGGCGCGCGCCGCGCGGGGAGCGCGCGCGGGGCGGCGCAGGGCCCAAGAGGCCCTCCACGCCACGGCCGGCCTTTCCGCGGCCGTCGCCGTCGAGGTCCCGAGCCTCCAGGCGCGGCCGCGGAGGGGAGAGGGGAGGGGAGAGGGGAGGGGGAGGGGAAGTGGGGATAGGGGGGGAAATGTGGAGGTGAAAGGCGAGGGAGGGGAAACGGGAAGCGGCGGCAAGGGGAGGAGGGGGATGGGGGGAAGGGAGAGGAGCGGAGGAGGGGGGGAGGGGGAAATGGGGGGGAGGACGGGGGGAGAGGGAGAGGGGGGAGGAGGAGGGCGAGGCCGGAATTGCAGCGAAATGCGTATCCGAAAGAGGAGGGCGAGGGAGGAATGGGAGAGGAGGGGAAGGAGGGAGAAGTGGATGGGGGAAGGGGGAGGAGCTGCAGCAGGGGCAGAAGCGAGAGCAGCGAAAGCACCGCAGGCGGGAACAGCCGGAGAAACTTGTTTTGGGGGAGTGCAGAAATCTGTGTGAATTGCATATTGCGTTGGGTGTCTCGTTTTCTTGCTCTGAATTAATTAGGCGTCTCGAAATAATTCGAGACGCTCGAGACACTGCAAAAAGAAAGCTCGCCAGAACAGTCAGTAACACAGCTCAAATTCGCTGGCGATGCGCCGAGCTCTCTCGTGCGAGCCGATCTTGCACTTAAGCGCGGCGGCAAGCTTGGGGGCCAAGACCCGCAGGCCGTACTCGCCTTTCTTCTGGCCTTTGATGACCTTCTTCGCGGCAGCAATTTGTTTTTTTTGACAACTTCCCCATTCTCTCCAGGGTGGATTTCCTGCCGACGAGCTTCGCTTTTCCCTTGCATGTGATCTTCTGCGGGGGCAGCTTGGCCTTCTTGCGCTTGAGCGCGGCGACCTCCTTCACCCTAACCTTAAGCTTCGCGTCCCGCGCCATGCCCAAGCGCAGCACCGCCAAGTCTTTCTCCAGTTCCGTCCTGGCGAAGTCTACCCGCCGCTGGAAGACCTATACCAATTTTGTTTACGAAACGCCCTTGGGGCCCCAGGGGCGTTGCTGAAATGCCGCGCTTCCATGTCCCTTGATGATAGCCCCCAGTGGGGCCATCTGAGCTTTTCTGGGGAATCTCGGGGGTCATCGCCTCCGGGACCGCCCCAAGAGGCTTTGACGATTAAGCAGCGCTGTTTCTCCGCGAGTTTGACATTTGTCGTCTCTTCGACGATAGTCGCCCCTGGCTGGCTGGAACCGGGGCCGTCGAGATATCTGGGGCCGCCGCAACGGAACCCAGATAACTCCCGATATCGCCGCCGAGAAAGTTCTGGGACCCCCCCCAGAGCTTCCACAGAAAGCTCGCCCCCTTTCAAAAAAACGACAACCTACAGAAAGTTTGCACCTCCGCCCGCCTGTCGGGGCCAGGGGTGAGGAATCAAACGCGCCTCATGTACAACCGCCTTCGGGAAATATTTTGGACGTGCAGGCCTATCCTCGATTTTCGGCTTTACCCGCCTATCGGGGCCAGGGGTGAATAATGAAACCCGTCTCTAGTGCGACCGCTTTCGGGTAGCATTTTGTGCGTACCGGCTTGTCTTCGATATTCAGATCCGAGGGCCTATCGGGGCCGGGTGTGTGAGAAAAACCCGTTTCAAATCCAACCACGTTTGGGTCGTCAGACCCTGCCAGATTTTACAAGAGTAGCCCCTTGGATACAAAGGGTTGCCTTTCAATCACAAACGCACGCACGTGCGCACGCCTGGAGGGGCCCCGGGTTGTGGTCGAACAAGCCCGGGGCGTCTGCTGCAATGATCGTGACGTTGAGCTTCTTGCTCAACTTGTAGAGCTCTTCCGAGAGATCGAAGTTGCGAGCCACGGCCCTGGACTCACCCACGTACACCTTTTTATGCTTGGTCTTGCTCGCCTTTTCTAAGAGACCCGTGAAAGTTGACCTCAAGGGAGGGGGGGCAGGTGGGGAGCAGCGCGACAGAGATGGAGGTATAGGCGTAAAGAGGAAGGGGCGCCGGGGCCGCACGAGGAAGAGGAAAAAAAGGAAGAGGAGGAGGAGGAGGAGGAGGAGGAGGAGGGTGAGGCGGAGCCGGAGGTGGAGGAGCACAGGAGGAACGGAGGCCGGGGGCCAGAGGCAGCGGAAGGGGAGCGGAAGATGAACGGAGCAGGGACGGAGGAAGAGGAGAAAGACACGTAAAGGACACTATAGAGAATTGGTCCTAAATGGGGGGCCCTTTAGCCCCAAAGTCCCCGACCTTAGCTCAAGCGGCAAAGTACCGCTGATGACGTCGCAGACGAGCTCGACTGGCGTGCTCTTGGTGGCCCCTGCCGCGGAGAGGGCACTGTCGATCTGCCTTTTCTGGCTGCCTAAAGGGTTTTTCGCATTTGTTTTCGAGCTCGTCCGGGAATATGCGAAAACTTTGCCTTTGGGCATCCCGGCTGCGTTGGAGCACCGCCTGGCACGCGCGTAGTACAAAAAACTGATTCGGCCCAGACGGCTGCAAGTCGGCGGCGAGCGAGGGGGCAAGTGAGAAGGAGAAGGCCATCTCAGAAGGCGGCGGAACTTCCCAGAAGCCCTCGCGCCTTCCGAGATGTCGTTTGTGTCTTCGGAGAGGGCTTAGGAACCTTCTCAGAAGGTTGGAGGCCATCTGAGCCTTCTGGGATAGGTGAGCCCCTACTCACTTCCCCCCTGGGCTCGCCGCCAGGCAAAGACTAACGCGAATTTGACACTCTGCGAATCCGCGCTAGGCAGTCGAACAGAAAAACTTAGCGAGGGAGACGAAGGGACGCAAGGAGGAAAGGGGGGATCCAGGGGAAGAATGGGGCGAGAGAGGGGGGGAGAGCGGGGAGAGGAGTCGCCAAGGGCGGACGGCCCTTTCGGAGTTCGTGATGTCTCCCTAGACTGGGCTTGCGCTTAAGGAACCTGCCTGTTTGATTGAAAGAATTGGGCGGGTATGTCAAGATTTCGCCCCATTCGCGCCCGTGCCCGCCCCCAGGGCGCAACTTGTGGCTATGGCGCAACCCATGGTGCAACCGCATATGGCCCAAGCTATGGCGCCGCCTATAGTGCATCCACTTATGGCCCAACCTACTGCGCAACATATCAATCACACTATGGCGAACGAGTGGAATCCTACGCGGACTCAGATTCGACCTCACCATCCCTGGGGGGGTCGATCCGCGAAATTGCCGCCTCTTTCGAAGGTTGCTGGGGGAGGCGGGAGGGCGGGGCCTCACGCGGACTCAAAGTAGACATCGCCATCCCTGGGGGGCTGCGATCTGCGAAACTGTCTCCACCTTCGTGGTCCCATCAGAGCTCCACCGTTCAAACTCAAGGTCCCAGTGGCAACGTTCGCATGTGGAACCCCGGCCATTTAGGCACATTCCTCGCGCGATCCGTAGCCCTATGGAGAGTTCCACGTAAAACCCCCGTGGCAAAGTGCGCATGCGGACAACCGCATGTTTCTGGACACCGTTCACGCACTTCGTGGCCCCACTGGGGGTCCCACCTAAGCGCGGGCATTCATTTGTCATTGATATCCGTGCGGCTGAGGCGGCAATGTGACCATGACTTGTCACGCCTGCGGGCATCGAGCCAAAACGAATTGCCGTCATGCGCTTTTAGGCTTACAGCAGGAAAAGAATATGGCCTAGTCCCTAGTCCAGCTTCTGATTGTTTTCGGGCAGTGTTTCGCTATTGGGTTGCAGCAGTTGTCGAACATTTTCCAATCAGAATCGCTTCCTGGGGGCTGACTTGAACCCGTCTCAACTAACGAATGGGCAATGAGAACAATGGAAGAGAAAAGGGAAATGTGTTGGGAGGGGGACGAAAAGGAATTACATTGTATATGGTGATGATGATGATGATGATGGGGAGGAGGAGGAGGGGGAGGGGGAAGAGGCGGAGGAATCAGAGGGTGATGATGAGGAGGACGAGGAGGGCGAGGAAGGGGGGGGAGGACAAGGAGCAGGGATGAGAAGCTGAGATGAGGTATGTTGGAAATCAAACCCACCCGGCCTCTTTTGCGGCCTTCGTGTTGGCTTGTAAGGCTATAGGATGCGACGTGGCGACAAGGCAAACACAATGTCAAAACCTTCCGTTGGGTTTGTGGACGGTTCGGGCCTCTCAGGGGCAACCCTGTGAAATTGTGTAGCCACCTCGGCCCGTCTCAGCGTTTCTCACTGGGCCTCTTGGAGGCATGCTGGAGGCCATATCATACTCAGCGTTCCTCATTGGGCCTCAGGCGGCGCTGTATGGGCGATGGCCCCCTTGCCCAGGCATTCGGGCAGGGGAATGAGGAATAGGCTCGAGGGGGCCAACCGCGCGTTGGTCAAGAAGACCCCGCGCGTTGCGCGCTGGACCCCGCGCTTCCCCGGGGGGGGGTCCCCCCTCCCTGTTCCCCGGCGTCTCGCGCGAGACCCCGCGCAAACCCTCTCTCCCAGGAGGGGGGGAGCGCACTCAGTGCGCTCCCCCCCCTCCTGGGAGAGAGGGTTTGCGCGGGGTCTCGCGCGAGGACGCCTGGGAACAGGGGGACGGGAAGCACGGGGTCCAGCGCGCGACGCGCGAGCTCGTGAAAAGACCCCGCGCGTTCAGCGCTGAACCCCGCGCTTCCAGCTCCGGGGGGGCGAAAAGACCCCGCGCGTTCAGCGCTGAACCCCGCGCTTCCAGGTCCGGGGGAGCGAAAAGACCCCGCGCGTTCAGCGGGACTCGTGCCGTGCGTTGCGCGAGACACAAAGACCGCGACGACGACGACGACGACGACGACGACGACACGACGGGCGACGACGACGACGAATGACGGCGAGGAAGAAAGTTGCCGAGGGGGGGGGGGGTGTAGGGGGGGGGGGGGGGGGGGGGGGGGGGGGGGGGGGGGGGGGGGGGGGTGTGCGTGTGGTGCCGCCAGCCCGGGACGACGACCCCCCCCCCCCCCCCCGACGACGACGACGACGACGACGACGGACGACCCCCCCCGACGACGGACGACGACGGCGGACGACGACGACGACGACTACGACGACCGACGACGACGCGACGACGACGGACGACCAGAAGAACGGGACGACACGACGACGACGAACGCGACGAGTGAAAGTGCGGAGGGGGGGGGGGGGGGTGCTGCGTGGGCGCCGTGCAAAGCCAGAAGACGGACGGACGACGACGAGACGCGACGACGACGACGACGACGAGACGAACGCGACGAGTGAAGTGAAAGTGCCCACCCGAGAGGGGGGGGGGGTGCCTGCGTGGGCGCGTGCAAGCCGGACGACGAGGACGACGACGACGACTCTTTACGACGGACGACGACGCAAGACGACGACGAACGACGACGACGACGACGACGACGACGACGACGACGACACGACGACGACGAACGACGACGACGGACGACGACGACGACGACGACGAACGACGACGACGGACGACGACGACGACGACTACGGACGACGACGACGACGACGACGACGACGACGACGACGACGGACGACGCACGACGACGACGACGTCCGACGACGCGACGACGACGACGACGACGACGACGACGACGACGACGACGACGACGACGACGACCGACGGACGACGACGACGACGACGACGACGACGACGACGAACGACGACGACGACGGACGACGACGACGACGACGACGACGACGACGGACGGCGCGACGACGACGACGACGACGGCGGCGCGACGACGACGACGGCGGCGCGACGACGACGACGACGATGACGACGACGACGACGACGACGACGACGACGACGACAACGACGACTGACGATGACGACTGATGACGAGGACGACGGCAACGATTTGAGTGACGACGACGACGACGACGACGAGGACGACGACGACGATGGCGACGACGACGACGACGAAGACGACGATGACCACGACGACCACGACCACGACCACGACGACGACAACGACGACGACGACCACGGCGGCGACGACGACTACCACGACGACGACGACGACGCCG